GCCATGAAGTTTCCAACAAGTAATGGCGTTGGGGTCATCCGTGGAGACCAGACAGCTGTCAGACAATGTTACGTTGCCAGCGTTCGGGAAATAAATAACGACTTCATGCAAATCTCGAGGATGGATCCCGAGGACGGGCAACAAGTCAGACTTGCCCCTGTCGAATAATTGATGGAAATTGAGTTCGAGCATGATAAGAAGGTGACTATTGGTCGGGATCTTGACGTCACCCTAAAGACAAAACTTGTTGGTTGCTTATCTCGCAACATTGACGTTTTTGCCTGGAAGGTTGAGGATATGTAAGGGATAGACCCTAAAATTGCAGTCCATAGGCTTAACATTAGCCCAGGGGCCAGACCAGTAAAGCAGAGGAAAAGACAGTTTGCCCCAGAACGTCGGGAGATCATTCGCGAAGAAATTAACAAACTCGTTAGTGCTCAGTTCATTCGGGAGGTCCAATATCCCGATTGGCTTGCCAATGTTGTTTTAGTGAAGAAGGCCAATGGTAAGTGGAGGGTCTGCATTGACTTCACAGATCTTAATAAAGCATGTCCAAAGGATAGTTATCCCCTACCGCAGATTGACAACTTGGTGGATAGCACGTCTGGACATAAGCTATACAGCTTCTTGGATGCATTTTCTGGTTATCATCAAATCCTCATGGCCGAGGAAGATCAAGAAAAGACCTCATTCATGGCCGATTCCGCCATATACTATTATAAGGTCATGCCTTTCGGTTTGAAGAATGCAGGGGCAACATACCAAAGGCTAATCAACAAAGTCTTTGCTAACTTGATTGGAAGGAATGTGGAGGCGTACGTTGATGACATGGTGGTCAAGAGCAAAAAGGTGGACCAACATATTTCAGATCTTGAAGAAGTGTTCAACACCTTGCGAAAGTACGGAATGAAGTTGAACCTCGCAAAATGTGCATTTGGCGTGGCCTCTGGCAAGTTCTTGGGCTTCATGATCGCTCACCGGGGGATAGAGGCCAACCCTGACAAAATACAAGCATTAGCGTCTATGGAATCACCAAGGAACAAGAAAGAGGTACAGAGGTTGACTGGTAGGATAGCAGCCTTGAACAGGTTCATGTCCCGAGCATCAGACAGGTGCTATCCCTTTTTCAAAGTCCTCAGAGGAAACCAAGGCTTTGATTGGAGTGAAGACTGTGAGAAAGCTTTTCAGGAGCTCAAGCAGACATTGGCATCTCTTCCTATTCTAACAAAGCCTAAGCCTGGTGACACCTTATTTTTGTACCTGGCCGTATCTCAAAACGCGGTCAGCGGGGTCTTGGTGAAAGAGGTTAACAAAGTCCAACAACCAATCTACTATGTGAGCAAGGTCCTACTAGATGCGGAAACAAGGTATACTTTGGTGGAACAACTTTCCCTTGCCTTGGTTGTAGCAGCACGGAAACTCCGACAGTATTTTCAGTCTCACCCTATGATGGTGCTCACTAATCAACCACTTAGGCATATACTTCAGAAGCCAGACGTATCAGGAAGACTAATGAAATGGGCAATCGAGCTTGGAGAATTTGACATAGAATTCAAACCATGCCCATCTATCAAAGCCCAAGCTCTGGCTGACTTCATTGCAGAACTAACCCCTAGGCCTCGAGGGCCAGGTGATAGCTCGAGCATGAGCACTAATTTGGACACTTGGCAAATATTTGTGGATGGAGCATCGAAATCCTCGGGCTCGGGCGCAGGGGTCATCATCATCAGCCCTGACAAACAAACAGAGATCCAATGCGCTCTCAGGTTCGAGTTTGAAGCAACCAACAACGAGTCCGAGTATGAGGCCGTCGTTATTGCTCTTGAGCTAGCCCTTTGCCTAGAGCTCTAGTTCGTAAAGTTATTCAGCGATTCACAACTAGTGGTCAGACAGATTGAAAGATCATTTGAAAGGAAGGATGAGAAAATGAGTTTGTACTGTATGAAGGTTCAGGATCTTCAACGAAAATTCAAGAGCTGTGAA